TCCACATTACTATGTTGTGGTGCAGCGAGTTAAGCCCTTATCAGATGCCTCCAGAACCACGAGTCAAATAAACCTCTGTTGTTTAAAAATTTATAAATTTACTTATGATATTCAGCAACAGAAAACTAACCAAAACATTGTTCAATAAATTATTGTACCCTGAGTTATATGCTGTCTTGATCTTCAAAGAGAGTTGAAGGAGGAAGGAGGAAAGGAAGGGAAGGAGGAGTAGGTCAGAGGGTTATAAGGAGTCACAAATAGTGCCCCAATTCATGAAATTTTAGCTCAATATTGCCTTCCTAACATAGTTTTACTATGTGTTATTTCTTTCCCTCCATCTCAACTCTTTAGTAATGAGGGTTAATCAAAAAATGTACCCTGTACATTTTAATAATATAACAATAATAATCCACTGAAGGATTTCTAATATGTCAGATTTCTTCCTTGGAGATATCTATCCTTGTGAGTCATAAAACTGTGCAATTCATTACCATAACATTCTATAGATGAGGAAACTGAGGCTGAGAGAAGTGAGTAATTTGTGATTCAACCACTCATTGACACAGAACCAATTTGAATGTACTGAAAAGACTTCTGAACCAATTTTACATAATTATCCACCTATGTTTTGACCTCCTAGCAGAGTGTCTAGAGTGCTGAGAATCTAGGTCCGGGTAGGAGGATATGAAGCTACTGTAGCAAGTGTATTAGGGAGGATGTTTGGGGCCTTGCCATATTCCAGCATGAAAGTTATGTTGCTTAGGTGCTTCCTTCATTAGCATGCAACTTAAGCCAGTACAAAAGCCCAGAATTTTTTTAGACCAGAGTTTATTTTTGAGGTTTGTATGAATATGGTAAAAGAATCATAATGGTTAACTGAAACTATCAGACATAATATCACAGAGACAATGATGGTTGAGATTATATTAACCTGTATTCAGTTGTCATTTTAAAAAGATAGATGGTCAAACAGATTAGCAAATCTGTACCACAAGCACATCAGATAGAGCACTAATCTCTGGGATATACAAAGCACTCAAAAAACTTAACACCAAAAAAACAAATAACCCAATCAATTAATGGGCCAAGGAACTGAACAGACACTTCTAAGAAGAAGATATACAACCAATCAACAAACATGAAAAAATGTTCAACATCTCTAGCAATTAGAGAAATGCAAATCATAATTACTCTAAGATTTCATCTCACTCCAGTCAGAATGGCAGCTATTATGAATACAAACAAGAAGTGTTGACAAGGATGTGGGGGAAAAGGCACACTCATACATTGCTGATGGGACTGCAAATTGGTACAACCAATCTGGAAAGCAGTATGGAGATTCCTTGGAAAACTTGGAATGGAACAACCATTTGACCCAACTATCTCACTCCTCCGTTTATATGGAAGGGACTTAAAAACAGCATACTACAGGGACATAGCCACATTAATGTTTATAGTAGCACAATTCACAATAGCTAAATTGTGGAACCAATCCAGATGTCCTTCAGTAGATGAATGTATATGGAAACTTTGATATATGTATATATATATATATATATATATATATATATATATATAAAATGGAATATTACTCAGCAATAAAAGAAAATAAAATCATGGCATTTGCAGGTAAATGGATGGAGTTGGAGAATATAATGATAAGTGAAGTAAAAAACCAAAGGCCAAAAGGCCAAATTTTTTCTTTGATATGAGGATGCTGACTCATAATGGAGATGGGGTGGGGGGAACATGGGAAGAATGGAGGATAGGGCAAAGGCGAGGGAGGGGAAGGGACGGGGGAAGCGTGTAGGAATGATGGTGGAATGAGTTAGACATCATTACCATAAGTACATGTATGAAGACACAAATAGTGTTACAACCAGTGAGTTGAAAAATTGTGCTCTATATGTGTAATATGAAATGAGTTGCATTCTGCCATCGTGTATAACACATTAGAATGAAGAAATAATTTAATAATAGAAAATAAGCAACCAAATAAATCACTAAATACAAAAAAACAGCATGGATATAAAAAGGTGGACCCTGAAAACCTGAAGAGGAAGGTACCACCAAGTGGGCAAGAGAGGGAGGATAAAAAAACAATAACTCCTCTGCTGCAGAAAATGATTTTAAAGTAGAATCAAGTAAATATAGATGTTGAGTGCTGATTTTTCATTGGTATTTCAATAGCTTCATTACAATTTTTAAAGTTCTCCATATATACTATACTTTTGATTTGTAACTATGTGATAATATGCTTTAAATGATTTTTATTATTACTTTAACATTATATCTTTTAAAAGTTATCATTTTCATTCAATTGCTCTTATTAAATTAAGTAATATCCATGACCAGTAGGCAACCTTTGTATTCTACTGAACTTTTATCTTATAATGTGGAAAATCTATGTTGACCTAGAATGAATATATTCTAAAATTTTCCTTTTCATTATGCTGTGTGTCTGTTTATGTGCTGTGTTACACAAATAATTATCAGCTTATGTTGTCCTGTCCAGAGGAGGGGGAGGAATGTCCTTGTTGGAGGCTGCTTTGTGTGGGAAGAGAACAAGGCTGATGCTTAAAGGCCCTCTGATGGAATCTACTTGAGCCTCATACCAGATTGGGTAGGGCCGGTTATACCTGCCTGATGCTGGTCCAGGAAAGGTACCATTCAAGCAATCTCCAGCTTGGGGATACCATGGATACAAGTTCTGCCTTAGGACTCTGTGTAACTTCGATCTATTCTTCTTTTGGAAGTCCAGATTACAACCTAAAGCATTGAGACTTAGCTTTGCTACATGAATGTGGACCCAGCATGGTCAAATCTGACCTTCAACCTTTCCAAAGTTGATTGTTGGATTTGAGAATTAACTTCTCCTATATGCAAGGGAAGACAGAGGTAGGGAAGGAGGAGGAGTAGGGGAAAGAGAAGGAGAGGTGAAGAAGAGGAGAAAGAAGGAAGGAAAAATCAGAGGAAGAAGGGGAAGGAGGAGAGGGAGAAGGAGAGAAAAGAAAGAGAAATATAGGAAAGCAAAAGTCTCTTGACCTTGAAGAGTTTGGATCTCTAATACTAGGAAAATTTGAAGGCATATATTGGGAATGCTTATTTTGTTTCTGCCAGTAAATAAAACCCTCAGGGAAGGTTATTAATTTATCTGGCCTATTTAGTATATTAAATGACACTATTTCATACTCTAGTGACCTAAAAAAGTTAATTTGCCATTTGAATGGCGTGAATGATGAATGCTTACATCAGGTACTGGCACTTTACAATACTCAACAAACATTTAGTACTTTTTGCTTAAGTGTGCTTTATTTTTTTATTAGCATCTATGGGAAAGAAATGGGAACTGTAACATTCTGTAGGGGATAACAGGACACGTTTTGGATAGGGTACCATTTCAGAATGAGAGATGCTTTAACCTAGAGCCCTGATAGAGATGGAGAGAATACCAGAAAGGAAAAAGGAAGGGAGAAAAATGATTACAAAATCCCTTGGTTTCCTGTGCTTCTTCTGTCCTTTTAATCTAAGGCACAGTGACCTTCTGTGCCCCTTGTATCCCCCTTGGATTTCTTCAACCCCCATGCCTGCCCTCTCTACAATTCTTTATGAGCTATCATGTGGGGCTAGAATGGAATTTGGAAAATTAAGAGCTGATTTTTATTCCTCTGATATCTTGGTTGCCTTGGGCACTAAAATAATTTGAATTGGTTTTGAAATGAAATGTCACTTATGGAGTAAAATTTTATAATAATTTGCTTAATTTAAACAATGAATTGGGGAGAGAACAGCAGACATCTGATTTGCATTTTATACATAAAATAATGTTTATCAGATATTTGGAGGCAATAGATATACAACTTCTGAACTGATGGGGCATGGTTATACTTATTGCTCTTGCAATAGAAACATAGGACATAGCACAGAACACCTTTACTCTTTGGTTATTTTTGAAAGCAAATATATAAATAATATAAAGAAAATTGTATTCTCCTTTCTGTCCTTGAAAGCTGTATGTCTCTGTGTTCCAGAAATTATTTGGTGCACAACCAATGGATCCCACCATTTCTTCATAACACGGTATGATAAAATAGGGAGAGGGCTTGGTAAGCCAGAAGCAAAAAGCATTCTTGTTATTTTCATAGATCCAACAAAAATTAACAGAATAATACAGTAAATAAATAAAATAAATAAATGCAAATAAAATTAAAAATGAGCAAAGGTATAAATAAATTGCAAATGAAATTTCTAAAGTAGATTTTGATAAGACAAAATTCTCAAAAATTATTAGAAGATAATGCTTACTGAAAACCAAGATACTAGCTTTAGGACTATGATAGATAATAATGAGACTTGCAGTTGCCTGCGTGCACTCACAGAGAGGCTTGCTATTGTCAAATGCCTGAGGTTGTTCTCAGTGATCCTTGACTCTGGTCACTCCAACTGAAATGAGGAAAGTTAGAGTTCCAGAACACGTTTGATTCTGTGTCAGCAGGTTTCAAGAGTTGACGGCTGCGCGCGGGCGGGGTCAGCGCCTTACAGTCCTCCACGTGGTCTCTCACATCTCCCTTCCTACCTTGTTTACTCCTCCAGGGGGAGGGAAATGAACAGTCAGGTGCGACCCAGCAGGGGGAGTGGGTGAGCTGGCCCGAGGGCCGCCCAAATGTATCCTTGGGTGTGGGTATGGGTGTGGGGCAATTTGGGTGGGAGCATCGTGGCCGCTACCACCAATTTCTGCGCCTTTTTAGTGGGGTGTGTGCAGAAGTGAGGATAAATAGGAGGCTCCCTCCTCTCCCGACACTCACAGAGCCGGCCGGCCGTCCTCCCTGGGTGTTTCCTTGCCCTGTAGCCAGGGTGCCAGCCAGAAGAGTAGTTTCGTTTCCTCCTGGCTCCAGGATTAGTTTCCAAGCACCCTCTCGAGCGCCCGGGTCCCGGGAAGGGGGCGAAGAAGGAGGAGGGAGACTCGTCTAGGGGCTGCCCGGCCCCGCAGAGCGGGGTTGATGGACCGGGCCGCCCCGGGCAGCGGCGCCAGCTCCCTGCCACTGCTCCTGGCCCTTGCCCTGGGTAAGTGGCCACGCTGGGCACTTGAGAGCAGGAGGAAAGACCGGGGCTGGAGTCACAGGGAGGGCGAACTCTGAATCGCGCAGACATCTGGGCACGAGGGCGCTCTCGGGCTGGCGAGCGCGGGTCAGAGAACTTTGATGACTGAGAGAGGACGAAGTTGAGGATCTGGCAATTGGGCACTTGGGGCTGCACCTGTTGGAGGCTGCCCCTAGGCGTGGAGGGAGGCCCGAAGGCGGAAGGGATCGCGCGGGCCGCGCTGCCGGTGCTATGCTCAGGTTGCCAACGGGAGCAGTGCACAGAACAGAGGGCCCTACAGCTACCCGAGGGGGTGCCTTAGGGCTCTGGGGACAGAGTGCCCTCGAGTGCGGAGTGGTGGGAGGAAAACTCACTAAAGAAGGAGAATAGACGTCTGTACCCCGAAGGGTACCCACAGGAGAAACTCAGTGACCCAAGATGCTGGCAGGGAGTGTGGAGCAACCTGGTGGAGAGAATTTCTCCCTCCCTCTCTCTCTCTCTCTCTCTCTCTCTCTCTCTCTCTCTCTCTGTGTGTGTGTGTGTGTGTGTGTGTGTGTGTGTGTGTCCGGCAGTGTGAGAAAGGAAGGGGACGGCTCCTGGAGAAACTGTCATGATCTAAGAATGAATTAATATGCCTTATTTTTGCTGGGGCAGCTGGAAGGAACTGGGAAAGGCAGAAACTCACCTTCGGGGACCTGACTCTCCTGTTGCTGACAGGGAAGAAAGGAAAGGGAAATGACACATTTTATTGAGGAAACCTTTGATGAAATTCAAGAACACTTCACTTGTAATCTGTTATTTCCTATTTTAAGACGAAACTCTGGGAGGGAAAACTTTTCTTCAGTGGGAGAAAAGTTGTTACTTTAAAGACCACTGGACATGAATCACCTGGGTGAGGGAAGAGGACAGGTGGAAGGAACAGGTGCCTTGAACTTTCTGGAGCCATCCCTATGACCTTGGAAGTCTGTGCTTAGGATGGAGAGCTGGAACTTCAAATGACTGGAAGTAAGGCTCTCCTTGCCTCCAAAGTAGGAGGGGAGCAGGAAGTCATGTAGGTGGGAAAAGTCCACCACCTGGAAACACCCTCTTGCATTGTGGTTATTTTGGATGTCAGAAGGAAAGGGACCCTAGTGATATTTTCTAGTCTTAACTGGAGAGTATGGGCATCTTGGATGGTACATGGGGAGGTCTCCCTAGCCTAAACATTGTCATGGTATCACTCCTATCTTCAACCCTGGAAACACATGTGAATAAAGGGGTGGAATTTTTTTCTTATGGAGGAAAAATAAGTGGAATCTAAATCAATGTTTTCATTTTTGTTCTGTCCTTGGAGTGAGAAAGCGGGTAATGTAACTTGGTTGCAGGTGGATCAGACATAGATTCATGGTTAGAAAGAAGGGATGGATTTAACAAATCCTGCAGAGGGAGAAGTCAGTATTAGTGTAGTGAAGAGTAATGAGGAGCATCAAGAAGAGTGATGCACCTGAGATTTAGGACTTTCACCAGGATCACTGGGATGTAGGTGGCATCCTCCTCCTTTGCCTTACCTGCACAGTCTGGCAGTCTAGGTACTCAGTATCTGCTGTAGTCAGCAAGATGCTGAAGTATGTAGGTATGGGTAGGGGGTGAGAAGAGTATTTGAGAGATTCCTAGACCACAATTCTTGCCCCAAAAAGAACATTGGGGAATGCAAGACTGCCAATATGAAACAATTAGAGAAACACTTAGGAAACCAAAGAAGGGAGAGCTCAGTAGTGAGGAAAGGAATAGTGGGGAGAAACTGTTTAAGGGACCTGAGTAGGTAATGGAAGCTTGGGTAGGATTTCAAATAGCAGAGAAGAAAGTGAGAAATAGATAAGGGAAAAAGCACTTAGTAAAGGTTGATGATGGGATTGAGAATGTTCTACTGGAAAGACAAGCAACAGCTTGTAAGACAGAATTCATAAAATGCAGACAGATTATGACGAATTGAAAAAAAGACTGTAAAATATTTGGACACGAATCAATTAGTAGTAAAATGCACACTATCACAAGGCTTGGATGAAGGAGGTATAATGTGAACAATGATTTACAGGAGATGAATGAATCTGGCACTGGGGTGCACTGTGGGAAGAGGGGAGAAAAACTGCAGATCAGAGGGTCTGATTGTTTCATAGGTATGATCCAGGCATGAGCTAATTAGAGCTCAAATTAGGGTGCTGGGCCAAGAGAAATGCCAGGGTAGAAATAACTGTTGAGTGTTGATGGACATTCTCCCCCACTTTACTGTCATACTGTGCTTTAACTTTTTTTTTTTTTTGAAAACTTGTCAAAAGGCAGAATTGTACAGACTTCTATACACTCAGGGTAACCGAAATGTACAACCACCTTCAGAATGATTGACTTAGGAAGTTGAATTCTGCGTCTGCATCCACTAAGAGCTCTCTCTCTTTTTTTTTTTTTTGCAAAATGCCAAAGGATATAATTTGTTGGCATCACTGTTTCCATTAAGCATTTCTATTTCTATCATACACACTTTACTTTTAAGTTCCATTCCTAATTTAAGGGGCATGTTATTTTATTTACTTTTTGAAAAGAATGTGAGAAATGTGTTGGGGGGGGGGGGCGTGGACAGTGGAAAGACCAGAGAGCTGGCATTGAGCAGACATGAGATCTGGTTCTTGCTCTGCCATTCTGTGACTAAGATATCTGTAAGTCACAACTTTCTGGCATTGTTTTCTTCATTTGTAGAATGAAGGGGTTTCTCAGATGACTATACACTTTCCTTTCTCATATGCTTTAAAAAAGTAAAATAACTTGTGACAAATTATGGATGACTTATATGTATTATAAATGCAGATGCTCCTTAAATACACCTGGGACTTAGCAGATGGATTTAGACAGGGGAGTTTTTATTATAACATATGCAAATGATAGACTATTCCCTTTGGGAAATTTTATGAACAGAAAAGTAAGGTGATATAGAAAAGAGTCATACCTAGGAAAACTGAATTAATATGGTACATATAAATTTAACATAGATATAAATTTTCTATTTATATATGTAATAATGTATATACTTATATATGTAGATCTGTACATATTTTTATATGTAATTAAATTCTTTGTACATATTAATTGATTATATTTTACTAAAGCTAAAGGAATTTTCATAGTCAGTAGAAATCTTGAACAACTTAATTTTTCTATAAATAGAATTTCCAAAAAACCATTCCATTTCTCAACTGTATTATCTTATTTGCTAACAAATCCATTTATTAATAGTATACCAATTCCAGTGATTCAGAGGAAACTGTTGAAGAAGAGATATTGAATACTTTGTTTTCAGCTTTGTTATTTTGTATGAGAAATAATCCCATTAAGATTATTTTCATTCTAAGCATTATGGGTGATGGGCGATAGCCTTAATTTGTAACTGGTTATGATTCCTTAGATGACGAAGATGCCAATCCATAACTTCTTCCTTGCCAAAAGAGGGGAACACCCTGTAGTGACTTCATTCTGAGCCATATTTGCATTTGCTTGCTTTTTCAAGACATGCCACGAAAATTGGAGTCTGGTTCCAGTAACTCTTACATTTTGTCTGTGAGGGCAGTTTCTGTGTTTTTAAAGTTAGTGTTAATATTGGATGATTTGAATCACAAATTATCACAAAACATCCTGTCTAAACAGTGGTTAGGATTACCTTCCCAGGCCAGTTCATATAAAACTTTGAATTAAAAGGGTACTTAAAGGATAGAACTAATTGGAATAATCTTATATTAAAGTCTGTAGTAAGCATTAAGTTCGAAGAGATGTGACTGGTTTTATTATTATATCTTCATAGCAATGGATTTCTCTTCATCTGCAAGGACTTTAGAGGGTTCTCTCTCTCTCTCTCTCTCTCTCTCTCTCTCTCTCTCTCTCTCTCATACATTTGCATTAAAAAGACATCTTGCAATTCAGGGCATTTATTTCTCAAAAAGGGATTGCTATGGTTTAGACCTGCAATGTCCCCCAAAGGCTCATGTGCTTAAGGCTCCAACCACAATGAAGTGGTCTCCAGAGGTAAAGGTTTTAGGAAATGATTGGACCACAAGGGCTCTAATCTCATCAGTGGATGAATTCATTTTATGGATTATTAATTTGAATAGATTATTAGAAGGTAGAATCTAGTTGAAGGAAGAGGTCTCTGGAGGTTTGCCCTAGAAATGTTTATCTTGTTCCTGGCCCCTTCCTTTCTGTCTTGTGTGACTGTTTCCTGGCTGCCATGAGCTGAGCATCTTTCCTCTTCCATAACCTTCCTCCAAGACGTTCTGTCTCACCTCAGGACCAAAGCAATGAAGCCAGCTAGTCATGGACTGAAATCTGAGCCAAAATAAACTTTTCCTCCTTTAAGTTGTTTATGTCAGGTGTTTTGGTCACAGAGATAAAAAGCTGACTAACACCAGGGACAAAAGCAAGAATCTTTTGTGGAGGAGTATAGGTTTTGACTTATACCTTCTAAGATTTGCAAGTCAGACACTGAAGTGGCAAGTATTTAATACCACCATTCATTTATACAAGTTTAATTATTCTTAAGTTACCTATTTAGACAATTGTAGAATGCTTCAAATGGAGTAGCCCCCAATGTCCTTTAAATGAGCAACTTTCCATGTTTCTATGGAAAACTTAATGCACAACCAAGTTGTGGAGTGCTAAAGGTTTATAGTGATTCAAACATCATACAGTGAGTTGATTTCCTCATTATTTTATACTGTCCCTACAGCTAAACTCACCTTGTGTGTAATAATAACAGTCATGCTTTTAGTTTTGGCCACATACCAGGTGTGGATCCATTTTGGCTTTCTCAGTCTGGATTCCACAAGAGTTTTTTTTTTTTTTTTTTTTTTTTTGTGGTGCTAGGGATTGAACCAGGGCTTTGTGCATGCGAGGCAAGTCCACAAGAGTTTTAAACCATATACTTATTTTTTTTAATATTTATTTTTTAGCTTTAGGTGAACACA